TTTAAACATTGCGTTGCAATATTATTTCTCTTAACCACTGAGGATTTCTTTTCTGCCTCCTCTGAAATTTTGTGGCCCAGAAAGGGCCTCCCTCCCCTTACTCTACTGCCGGCCCTGGCTGACATCTGGTATTCACTCCTTCCATGCACAAGCGTTTGAGGACGAACCGATAAGGAGGAGGGAAGCTGGGAGCCAGATAACCACCGACTCCATAGCCCCTCTTTTCGTCCCCTGCACAGCCAAGCAGTGTTTCCAAGTGACCGAGTCCCTGGGTCAGACGGGCTTGGCTCAGAACCTGACTGTACTTTAACTACTTGGGTGAGTTTCTCCTTCTGTAACCTGGGGAGAAAGTACCTACCTCATGGGGTGATCATAAGAATAAACGAGATGATCCGTTTTAACTTGGGCCATTTCTCAGCTACCTGGGCCTCTCCCCAGTCACCACTGAACACCCCCACTTGAACATCTATTGAACCAAATGTAACTCCAGGATCTAACCTCTGAAACCGCACCCCCACCCCCACCCCATGGTCTCCATCCTTCCCAGTGCTCAGGCCATAAGCTTCGACTCGCCTCTTCCCTTCACATCCACTTCCAATCTGTCTGTTCCACCTTCAAAATACACCCAGAATCCACACCTTGCTCACCTGGACTGTCACTACTCCTAGCATCAATCACCTGGATCAGTGCAGTTGCCTCCCCCCTGGCCTCTCAGCTTTTGCACTTGACCTCCACACTGTTCCCCAGTGGCCAGAGGGTGCCTGTGAACACCTGAGTCAGGACATGTCACTCTTCTGCTAAAGAACCTTCCATAGCTCCTACCTCACTCAAAGCAAAAGCCCAAGTCCTCCTCAAAGCACACCAGGACAGCACAGTCTGCCCTGTTGCCTCCCTAGCCTCACCTTCTCGTGCTGCCTCATTCACTCCCCCCAGCCCACAGGCCCTCTCGTGGCACCTTTGAATACCCAGCATGTTTCTGCCTCAGAACCTTTGCATGGGATGTTTTCTCTGCCTGGAATGCCCTCTGCCCAGGTCCCCCATGACTCCTCCCTTGACCTCCCCTTTCTAAAGTGCAGCCTTCGCCATGCTCCCTGTCTTCCTTCCTTAAATTTTTCCCATAGTACTTCACATCATCTGACATTCTGTATCTTTCACTTACCTGATTTCGTATCTGCCTCCCCCATTAGAATGAACAGACTTTTGTCCGCTTTGTTCACCACAGTGTTCCCACACTCAGCACAATGCCTGGTGCACAATAGGTGCTCAATAAATGTTTGTTGACTGACTAAATAGTTCCCCCCACCAAAGACAGCAATTGGAATGAATCCTAGCCCCCATCCTTCCAGAACAACAATGAGATCTCTTAATCTTGCTTTGCATTTGGCTGAGGGTGTAGAACGGAATGGGGCTTGGACATTGACTAAAATGGGAGTAGCGGGAGCCTCCAAGAGAGCCAGGGACACACAGGACCCCTTTGACTCACCCCTCAAGGTCTGATGGGCCTGCCATCCATTCCCTAGCATCCTGTTCACTTTCCAGAGCTAATTCCATCATGCCTTTTGTGTCTACCTCCCCACCAGAACGCGGGTGCTCTTGAGAGGGCTCCAAGTCTTGTTCGTGGGGCCCTAGATCATCCTCAACACCCAGTGCTGCACCATACTAAGACTATGTAAGGGGTACTATGTGAGGGAAAAAAATGGAAGGAGTGAATGCATGAATTTGATGATGAAATGACCTGAAGCGTGATGCTTCATATGCGTGTATGTCTGTGCACGTGCTCTGAGAAAAAACCCGGCTGGTGACAGTGGAGGCCTGGGTGTTGTACTGGTTCTCCTGAGTCCCAAGAGGTGTTTCTCTTACATCCCCCTCGCCACCCACCTCTAGCAGACCCTAAGGGGTCTGAGGTAGCACACTCAGAACCAGGGAGCTCGGCCTGAGGCAGAGCACTGGGGACAGGGGAGAGTGGAGGAATGCAGCACCGGGGATGGTCAGCGTAGGCGTGGAGGCAGTGGGCAAACACTTGGAAGGCACAGTGAGAGGGTAGAAGGCCCAGGTCTTGAGATCGGGGGTGCCCAGAGGTGCTAGATGCACAGCATATAGGGTCCCCAGGAGGCAGGGCATTAGAACGTGAGGTGTCCTAGGCATGCAACATGCTGGTTGTGGCTGATTTCCTGACACGGGATGCAGAGAAGGTGGAGTGCCCAGGTATAGGGTACACGGGACGTGGGGTATCCAAGGCCCGAGGTGGGGGTTAGTCCAGAGACTCAAGGTAGGGTGCGTGAAAACAGAAGCACCCAGGAGTAAGAAGCAGAGGTACCAACCCCTGAGGGGAGGGGCGTGCAATGCCCCGACAAAATTGCGCTCGCACGGGCGCTGTGGTTCCCGGAGCCCAGCTACCGGCGTGCCTCCCAATGCGGCTGCGCGGCCTAGGGTTTGGGGGCGGGGGTGCCGCAATTCTTTCGCATCCCAGTCTCTCCGCACCCTTCGCTTCCTGGGCCCCTGGCCCACGAGGCCAGAGACCAGGATGGGATGGAGGCTGGCAAACCGATCTCAGTCGCGAGCGGGGGTGCTGTGTTGACCGCGGGGCACTGGGAGAAAGTGGAGGAGGGGCTGGGAGGAGGTCCTGGCCAGGATTTTTGCAAATTGAGCATGCCACCTCTTTTCCTCATAAAAATAATGGTCACCCCTTCTCACAGCCTCGGGAGAATGCAAGTTACAACCACCTTCTAGCAAAACTCACAGAGATAGGTTCCTAGAGTCTGCGCAGGGAGGTGGATGGTCTGAGTAGTGACAGAGGGTGGGGTGGTAGGAGGAGGCTTGGAGCCAGAGGTCTCTGGAGGTGCCCAGGTGCCCCCCTAAATCCTGCTGGGTTAATGGAAAGCTGATAGGACTGGACTGGGAGGGGCGTCCTGGTTGCCCCTGAAACACTGTATCCACTCCCCAGCATCCCCAGGCATTCCATGGGTCCTACTAGGTGCTGTTGGTGTATCTCAAAGTGGGAAATTGAGGCACCGCCCACCCTACCCCTATAATTGATAGATTTGCTGCCAGATACAGATGGATGAGGTCCTCAGCCTCTGCTTCATTCACATTGGGTCTTTCTGATCCAGCTGTCTGGCGTGGCCACCCAGAATCAAGGCTAGAGCTCTAGAGATATAGAGTCCTACACATGAAGGGGGAACGAAAGTGGCCCACATATACCCTCTACCCCAAAGTTTGGGATACAAATGTGACCCAGGTTACAGGTTAAGATAATCCCTGTCTAGTCCTGAAATGAAGGCTGTCTATAAAAGAGGGTAGAGGGTGGGTGTTCACCACAGCATCACCCCTGGTCACCCAGCCAGCCTGCAAGTCTGGTGTTTCTCTGGCGTTCCCTAAATTCAGCCACCAGGACATGTTTCTTGGAAGGGATTACAGGGCAGGTTAATACATTTAGGTTTTCTCAGATACTCATAGTTCCCATGCAATTCTGCCCCAAGTTTTGTGTATTTGCTCCCCAACACCTCCCACTGCCTTTCCACACTCTTTCCCTTTTCCTCACCCATTCTACAATGCCAAACTTGGTTGGCAACCCGGGCAACACATTCTCTTTTCTGGAGACAGAGACTGATTGGGTTTGAGCTCCTCCCCATCCTTGGCCCACCCCCTTCCTCTGTAATTCAGATCTGGATTTGTCTGCCCTACTCCTCCTCACACCCCATTAATGCCCCTTCTTGGTCCACCAAGATTCAGCCCCTACTTTGGACTTTGCTTTCCTATTTAGGCCTCACTTGGATGGACTTCCTTCCCTAATGATCAAAGCCAGGGATCCGCTCTTCCCCTTCCATCAGTCTTAACAGTTGCACCCATCTTTCATAAAATGGAGCCAGCCAGCAGCCAGGCTTCCAGATCCTCACCGGATCTCACTGCTCAGGACTTTCCCCCTACTCCCCTCTCCAGGATTCTACTCCCTTCCAATTTCCTCCCACCCCCTCTAGCACTGAGTTGTCTATTATGCTGAAGCGCCTATTTTTGGCCTGGGGCCCGGTTTTACAGCCCCTACTCCAGGTCTCGGCAGTCACCGCTGTGGCTCGGGGGAGCCAGGTCGAACTGGAAAGGGGGTACCAGGGGCTCCCTCTGCAGCCTCAGCCTGAAACCTGTCCCTCGCCTCAGTCAGCCAGATGCCCGAAACCCTGCCGGCTCCTATCCTTACTTCTTTACATCTACCAGCAGCAGTGTAGTTGTTAGGCTGAGAAAGTCCGTACCGGGTTTTTGCTCTTGCCAAGAACCTAAAATTCACTTTTTTTCTCTTCCCCCGCCCCCCCCCCCGCCCACCTCAAAGTGAGACTTTTGAGGCGTTTCTAGATACTAAGCTCCCCCTAACACTCCCCTCCGCCCCTGCAGCTCGGTCAGTTCCAAGCCCTTGTCCGGTAGCCCGGGATCTTCTGCTGGGATCTTGTCCCGTCCGGTGGGCTCCAGCCCTGGCTTTGCGGCCTTTTCTCGCCTTGTATTGTAAGTCTGGTCTCCCAGGGTGGCAGCCTCCTCTTCGCTCACCCAGCGCAGAGCCTCTGTATCCTGAAACCGCTTTTACCTTCCCGCTCTGGTGCAGCCAGTGCTCCAGGTTCCCTCGTGCCTGAGTCCTGCCCTCCTCTTACCCCTCCCCCTTGCACGTCGCTGCCAGGAATACGGGGGCAGCAGACGCCTCCTCAGCTACCGAGTGGCCCCCTCCGGGAGCCCCCTGCAAGCCCAGGTCCGCACACACCACACCGGGTCTTACTTGTTTCCACTGCATTAGGCATGACGCATTACTCCGTCTCCCGAGGAAGGATCCGGCCCGAAATTTGCGTGCCCCGCGTGCATTTGGCCGTGTCGCAGCTCCCCAGCTCTCGGTTCCTCCCGTCTCTGCCTAATCCAAACCGGGTTTTGCATACCCTTTCCAGATCGTCCCATTTCTCCACTGTCCGGGCTCTTAGTCTCTCTTTTACTTCCCTGCCGTCATAATCCGGAGCTCCGGGTATTACATGCGCCTTTTTTCGCTATCCCCATCCCCTCTCCGTTCCAACGCTGGGATCCAGCACCTCGCCTTCCCTCTCACTAATTTCCCAGGGGGGTCGAAGAAGGCGAAGGAGAGAAAACTCCAGCCCGGGTTTTCAAGCCGGCCCTCGGTGTTCCTGGGGAGGCTGCGGCGGCCGGTCCCGGGCGGTGGTTCCAGCCCGGGTTTTGCGTGCTCCCGCCGTCCCCCTCCCGGAGCTAGTGCGCCGGGGAGCGGGGAGAACAGGCGGCTTGTCATTGCTGGTGCCCGGCGCCGGCTCGGTCCGCGCGTCCTGCGGTGCCCACGGGCCCGGCCCGGCGCCCCACCTCCGGCCGCCCCGGGGGCGCGACGCCGCCGCGCTCGCTTCCAGCCGCGCCCCCGCCAGGCTCCGCGCCGCCTGCTCCCTACCCAAGCCCACGGCGGCCACTGCGGGGAGCCCGAGCCGTCGGTGCGGGAGCTATCGGCGCTGCGGCTCCCCGCCCCGCCGTCTGCCGAGGAGGCCCCGGCTGATGGGGCCGCGCGGGTCCCGGAGCGGCGCCGCCGGGCGGCGGGGGGCTGCAGGGGCGCCACTGCTGCCCCGTTAACCCCTCGGTCGCCGCCGCCGCCGTCCGAGGGGGCTGGGAAGTCTCCTGGGCGCACACGTGCCACCTCCGTCGGGGCCGCGGAGCTGCGGGGGATATGCGGGCCGCGGCCGGCACCGCCTCGGGGGGCTCCGCCTCACTCCAGCCCCCAGAGTTCTGACACCGCCCCCGCCCCGCAGCCTTTGCCGCCTCCCTCCCCGGGAGGGGCGCGGACCCGCTCGCCCCTAGCCCAGAGCTGCCGCCGCCGCCGCGAGGGGGCCGCCTTTGGAGCTGTGTGATCCGCTTTTTTCTTTTTTCTTTTTTCTTTTTTTGGTTGGTGGCGGTGGTGCTGGGCCAGGGGAAAGAGGGGACACAGGCTGCCCTCGCCCCGCCACCCCTCACCCATTTCCCTCCCCGTCCGGATTCCGGGAGATGTGCCGGGCGGGGGGCCCGGGTTCGCGGAGCCGCAGAAGAGACGCCCAGGGCCCGGCTCAGAGCAGCGCTGGACAGGTGAGTGTCTGCGGGCCCAGGGCGAGGGAGATGCAGCACCTGGGCCAGGTGTTCAGGCCAAGAGGGAGAGGATGGGAACCGGGGTCTCTCTGGGCCGTAAAGGGGGAGGGGATGCTGGAGCCGCGGGTCATCGCACCGGAGCCGGAGGGGATTCAGGAGAGGCCGGCACCTCACCCCTATCGGCGATGAGGCCGGAGGAGCGGCGCCCACGGAGCGCCGAGGGCTTGGGGGTGCAGATGGACGTCCGTGGGGACCCGGCGGGGGGAGGGGACTGCGAGTGTGCTCGCGCGTGTCTGCGTGTGCCCGCGCGCGCACCAGCCTTTGTGGGGAAGCGGCGCGGCGGTGCCTGCGTGTCCCTGGTGCGTGTGCGCGCGGGTGCTTGGCGCCCTGTTTGTGTAGGTGTCTGGGTGTGAGCGGAGAGGGTGCGTGTGCGCGCCGCGCGCGGGCCCCGGGCCTCGGAGGCGCCTTGTTGGGGGTTGGCACCGCAGGATGCTGGGCTGGGGGTTGTTTTTCTCTGGGAAACAGAGACGCGGGGGGATAGGGAGGGGTCGGTCTGGGCGCCTGTGTCAGGAAGAATGGTGCAGCCCAGGAGCATCTTCTCTCCGTGGTACTCAGTTAAGCATGGGAAGCTGTCAGAATTAATCCTCCGGGATTTGGGCTTTGAGAACGAGCCCTCCCGCTATACCAAGTGTTGGGGGTTTTCATTGCCATCCTCTCATCTGAGGGTCCTGGGACAGGAGTCTGGGCCAGAAGAGGGTGGGGAGTGCTGGGTGTGCTCCAGCCATGGCCAGAAAATACCTTCCAGTGCACCCCTGACCCCCATCTAAAGACAGCACCCTGCCTGTACATGGCCTCCATGCGCATCCCTGTCCCAACTCTTCCAGTCTAGGTCAGCACCCAGCCCCATCCTTGCCCAGCACCTCACTGTACCTTGCTGGCCCACCCCCTTCCCCCTTCCCCCCAGAGATGGCAACTGCGTGGGTGTCCTTCCATCCCAGTCTTGAGGCAGGGCCCCCTTTCTTCCTTGCTTCTGCAGGACCCTTAGCCTCGGTTTGTCTGCCCACATCCAAACATGTGGTGTGCCTAGGGGAGCAGGGGGAGGGGTTCAAAATGGCTGCCAAGATGGCTGGTCGCCTCTCTGCCTCTCTTTCTCTGTCTCTCTCTTCTTGCTCTGTTTCCTTAGCTGCTGCAGGAGTCACTGACAAGAGGGGGTTGGACAACGTGGGTACAGACATGTGAGACACCTGAGTGTGGATATCTGCTCTGGGCCTGTTGACCTCAAATGCTGCTCAGGGAGAGGCCGTTGGTCTCTTCTCCCCTCTTCAACACCCCAGGGGCTGGCATAAGCTTGTAACCTGACCCCAGACTCAACCTGTTCACCCAGGCAGACGACCTGGGGGCTGGCTCCCTGCCCATCACCAGGTCTCCTAGGCCTGGCATCCTGAATTGATCACTGGGGTATCAGGGTGCCCCACAGAGGGTCTCCATCTGTCATCTTCTCTGCCTGCCCAGTGGCAAGGGGCTAAGGACTCCCGGTGGGCCTGAGTTAGGCCCCAGCTGTGGGGCAAGTTGACTTCTCCTTCCTCCCCACTCCTTTCCCACTAATGTTGAATTTATTACTTAAAAGTGGATAAAAGGGGGAGAATAAGAGAAGGTATACAACCTTCATTATCATATCGAGAAAATTATCCATGATTTTCCTAACTAGCAATTTGCCTGCCATGCCGTTCAGAACTGACTTGCCCATTAATTACAGAGATGAAAAATCATCTGGAAAGAGGAAAAGGGAACTAATTCGATCCCTGGCTGGTGGTAATCGCACCCATGCACTGAGCCACATACTTGCACGTGCACATGTAAGTGCCAGCCCTCTTGCTGGCATTGCCACCTTCCTCTTCCTCTACCTCAGTGACCTGCAGGACCTCAGCCCATGTGCTGCTAGGCCTGTCCTCCCTCCACTGGGCACTGATTTCAACCCCCACTCATGGGGAGCTGGCACAGGACTTGATCACTGACTGGTGCATGGACGCCTGCCCTTGAGTGTAGAGATGGCACCCAAGGTGGGGGGAGGACAGGAAGCTGGGGACCAGCGGACCAGCGCATCTGGGCTGTGGGGCCCTGCAGGGAGGAGGTGAAAGGCAAGAGACTCAAAGCCCAGTTCTATTCCCAGCCCGCCCTAAGGAGCTCCTTCTCCTGGCAGTAGGGGGACCGAAGAGGACCCTGTGGGGGGGGCGGGGCGGGGCTGGCAGGCACCTGGACTGCTCCCAAGTCTGTTTGCATCCCGGCCTGGGCTCCAGGACTTTGGACCTGTGTGTAGGGCTGCATGTCATTTCCATCTCCGGTGTCTGTCCTTCCTGTGTGCCCCAGGCTGGAGGGAGACAGTAGAGCGCTTCAGCCCCAGTATGGGCATCTGGGGTCAAGTTTCCTAGGAAGCTGCACTGCTATGCCCTGGAGTGGTACCCCTAATGGAAAACAGGAGTGGGATCTCTGCCACAACTGTCTGCTGGCCACCCGGAGCTACGTCATGGTCTCTGCCCCTCCTACCTCACCAGTCAGACGGGTGGCCAAGGACACAGAAGGCTCTGGTTTCTGTGTGGGCTCCTCTCGAGGATCCAATTTCCAGACGCCAGACACTTCCCCTCCTCCAGGCCCCTCCATGGGGAGCCAGGGGGAGGGCCTGCTGAGGTGGGGGTTCCCTGGGTCTGGAACCTGACCGCAGTGACCCTGGAGGTGCAGGCTCCAGCCAGCGTCTCCCCTGGGCTGGGTCTTGCTGACCTAACAAAAGAAAAAAGTGGGGTCCGAGGGTGGGAGGGCGTTTCACTGCCCCTGGAATCCAGTCCTCTGTTCATCATCATCTGTACCTGTGTGTACCTGTTCTGTGACTGATTTGGATGGTGACCTGACTGAGCCAGCATGTGGCCACCTGTCATCAAGCTGGTCCTGTGTGTCATGAAGGGGTCTCCTGTGTGCTGGTATTTGTGAGCTTTGCAGAGGTGCAGGCCCTGTGTGTGTGTGTGCGCGTGTGTGGCTCCATGCGTGAGCAGCTCTCTGCATCCTGTGCGCTGCAGCCATGTGCCCAGGTGTGTAGGGCTCCTTGAAATGAGGCCGGGTCACCTCTTTATGCAGTCTGTGACCATTTGCCAAGTGCCTTCTCTACTAGGCGCCATGCTGGGGACACAGTGCCCTGGTCCTGCCCTCACGGAGCTCACATTCTAGTGACACATAAGTGATTTCGGTCAATGGTTCATGTAGTAGGAGTTGAGGAAAAGGCTGTGTCTCCCCCTTGAGAGCGACCAGGGTCCCAGCTGGGGAGGAGCAGCCCCAGACTGGGATGGCAGTGGCCCCTGCATCTGAGCACTACAGCAGTCCCAGGCATGGGGCATCCTGGGGTCCCAACCTGCCAGTCCTTCTCTAGTGCTTCTTCCCCTGCCCCCTCCCTCCTTGCTGCTCCTCCAACAGACAAAGCATGATTCTACTCCAGGACATTCGCACTGTCTGTCCTTCCACCTGGGACCTCACCCAGACATCCGCAAAGCTTTTGCTCCCTCAGCTGCTTCAGTTGTCATCCTCCCAGTAAGTTTTATCCCATGCAGCCTCGTTAAAACTGCAGCCTTCTACTTGCTTCCTGACCTTCCACAGCACAGGTGGCTTTTCGCACACCCTGGAACTTCCTGATTTATCGGCCATTTGTTTGTTGTCTGTCTTCCTGACCAGGACCCAAATGCTCAGGCAGTTTGTGTTAATTCGGTTTGCTTTTGGATCCCAGGTGCCTAGACTCATACCTGGCCCACAGTGGTTGTTCAAGCAATCCTACCCGAGGGAATGGGAGGGGGCCTCATAATGAACCAGAGACCTCTGGGTGACGCCCATGGTTGTACACATCTAGGGTTCTCCATTGCCCTGGACCCCGTGGGGGAATTAAAGGCTTCCTGCCAGAGGCCAGGCCAGACCAACTCTGCACCTGTCCCCTGGCACCTCTGGGCAGACTGGGCGGGTAGCCTCCCGGTGGGGCTGTCTGTGCTATGGAGTTTAGAGCCCAGGGGGGAAATGTGTGGGCTCCCTGCCCTTGCCAGGGGTAGGAGCCCCAGAGTCAAAGTCTGAGCAGCCCCCTCCATCTCCTCCCGGGGCACTGATTCAGCCTCCTTCTCCCAAGATGGGGCCCATTATGTGGTCTGCCCTGGCCCTTAGGGACTGGCCAAAGAGAGGCCCCCTGCCACCCCCTACCCCCAATTTTGGGGGAAGGTAAAAATTTTAATAAGTAGATGCTGAGGCTAAAAATAGCTCTGTTTGGACTGGTGTGGCTCAGTTGGTTCGGTTCTGTCCTACAAAGCTAAATGTCGCCAGTTTAATTCCCAGTCAGGGCACCTGCCTGGGTTGCTGGTTCAGTCCCTGGTCCAGATGCGTATGAGGCAACTGATTGATATTTCTCACATCGATCTTTCTCTCCCTCTCTTTCTCCCTTTCTTTCTCCCTTTCTTCCCCTCTTTCTAAAAATAAATAAGTATTTACCAAAAAATAGCCTTGCCCCCCAAAGCTAAAAATAGCTAGGACCCCTTCCTCAGAGGCTAAAGATACCCAGAATTCAGGTGGGGCTCCTCTCCACAGGCAGGTGAGGTGGTGCAGACAGATGAGGGACGCAGGGAAAGGTTCTCAGCCATGGCAGTCCTGACACTGGGGTCACTTCATTCTTTGTGGGGGCTGTCTTGTGCATCCTAGGACTTTTAACAGTATCCCTGGTTTTCATCCACTAAATATACCAAGAGCATCCACATACATACACCCACACCCT